GAATCGTAACTTTCTGGTCAACCACGAGCTGTGTTACTGTTTTCCCCTTGCAGTTATTCTTTGTATTCAAGCAAGCATGTTATACTGGGGTTCAAATGTATATCTCAGACCTGTGTTAATTGGGAATAACTCCCTTAATGCCAGGGCAGTTTTATTTACAAAGAACTTCTACTCCACTCCATTTTTTTTATTTTTTTTTTTTTTTTTACTGTCTGTTAATAACTATGTAGACACTATCCAGAAAGCATATGGTTGCAAATTCAGTTTTGATCTAGGTTTTAATATTGAAAAAAGCAGCAGGAATATTCAGTAGTCTACAGGTCTAAACAGCGTTTTAGGCATGGTAATGAAAGAATTGGCCTTGTTTGTTTCTCTCTTCCTTCACTCAGGACCTGCCTGAGGTAACAGGTTTGCTGTTCAGAAAGTTTTCCAGTCTAATTCAGGTCTTAGTTTTCTTGCTGTAAGTGAGGATCTATTTCACTGCTGCTGATATAATCATACAAACAAAGCTGATGGAAAATATATTCAAGCACGTTGTATTTTATACAGTTCTTTTGGGAACTCTGATTGTGATTCTGGCTCAAGCCGAGCCTTTTCTCCAGGAATGTAAGTGAACTTAGTCAAATGGAATTCTTCTTGACTTGCATTAGTGGGAATGGGACAAGAACTAGGGCTGCACAGTAACAGTGGCTTTTTTAAATAAAAATGTTCTGTGTGTACATACATGTGAACACACACATACACCCCAGGTTTCATGTTTTTAGTTGCCATCAATCTGATGGACTGGGTTATTTCCATGTGTGCTTGTTTTTGAAATTGTCCCAAATAACTGCTGAATCAACTGGTACTTTTTAAGCAAAGAATGATGGAAGAAATAACATTACTCAAGATACCCATCAAAACCACTGCTAGTGAGACAACTTGGATTTCTTTTCATGCTATTTATTTTTAGAGAACTTCGAGCTTGTATGAATGACTAAAGGTGCCAGATTGACAGCCCTGGAGGCTGGCTTCACTTATTCATTAGCAGAAGAGATAGGGCCAGGGCAGCAGGTGCACAAGCCTACTCGCTGTGCTACACCCATGGCTTCACTTCTGTTGTGAAAAAACCCTTTTCGAGGATCCAGGGTTTTCAGTCCTGTTCCCTCCTTGCCTTTCCCTGCAGCGTTTTCTTCTAAGGGTGCAGCATAATGGTGTTGTGATGATTAGGTCTGAGCACTGAAGACTGGCAGAGCCCTTTATTTGATTTCACGTCAGATGGGGAAGGAGGCTCGGGGCTTACATAAGTCAGTAATTCTCGCCATCTGGTCAATCAGTAAATATAAGGTCACTCTGCCGTCACAGCATTTTTGTTTTGCAGCAAGTACAGTAAGCTCAGAGAATAAATTAACTCTTGGTTCCGTTCCGTTGTTTGTTTTGCCACTTCTGGAAATGGTTCAGAGCTCGGTTTCTGCGAGGCTGCAGCCTGGGTGTGACAACTGAAAAGAGCAAAGCCCTGAACAATAGGGCTTTGACTGCCAGCCATGAATTGATTCCTCGTTAAGGCGAGCACACTGAGAGCCCTTCAAAAATGCAATGAAACTAACTGAGAATATCTTGTATTTTTATGGAGGTGTGCGGCTTTTTTTTTGGAGGGGGTTTTCTTTTTTTTCTTTTTAATTTTTGTGATTCTTAGGTTTTTCGCCTTTAGATGCAAGATCTGTTCCTTCACACGAGTTGTTTTCAGTCTTCCCATGAATGCAGAGTTGCTTACTGGAGAATGTGACAATATAAGCCCCACAAGATGCAATTACTGTAAATTTTAATTTCATGATATTGTTCATGAGTTGTAACTGATTTTACACTGCATTGTGTTGCTAGATGAGTGGAGTAGCTTTGCTCACTTGCTAAGTGTGAGAAATCCACGCTTGCCTCTCTGGCCCCAGAGAGGAGAGAGGTAAATTGACAAGTTCAAGTTAAAGCAGCTTGTTCTTTTGGTTCCAGAGAGGCACAAGTAAGGCAGCAAGAATGAGAGGAGTCATATGAGCATTATTAATATACCATCCTGAAAAATGTGTTTTTTTTTCGGGGGTCCCTCATGTTTATTAGCGTATTTTAAGCATTTTTATAACTGGTTTCATTGTTTATGTATCTTTAATAAAATAGTTTCCAGCAAGTTCAGATTCCTTCCATAATTACTCTGGGCTTTGGATCATCTCTGAAGTGTCTGTTCCTTAGGGTTTGTTCTCGTGTTCTGATGTTGATTTTTAGATCAATATATATGTACTCTCATGAAATATTTACAGACCAGGTCTGAAAGAAGCAACTACTGCTTTTTGCTGAGAAAGGTAATAGTAAAATATCCGGAACCTACATAAAGAACAATGCATGCTTGCATGGGGCAGTGGGAAT